CACGACCCTGAGACATTCCCACGGAGTGGACTTGGTCACCTAACTCAACAGATCTGGAGAGTTAATTTTTTATTTATTTTAGTATTCCAGGCTTGGTGACACTCCACGAGTGGCATTTCCTGTCATTTATCTAGCTTTCAAACATTAATCTCTACCTGAGAGAATCAACAGCTTAACCATTAACCCCAGGCCCCCAGCAGAGAGTCCCCTGACCGCTCCCAAGTGCATGAGCCAAGATGGAACCTTGGGAGGGATCGAGGGCTGAGTTCCTTGGGAACCCACTGAGGTCGCAGGGCTGGATGAGGAGCTCACCTCAGTCCCTCCTGGGTCTTGCATCAGGCTCAGAGCATATGACACCTGCCTGGTTCTAAGAAAAATCCTCAACCATGTGTGTGTGTGTGTGTACATGTTTATGTGTGTCATGTGTGTGTGTGTGTGTGTGTGTGTGTGTGTGTGTGTGTGTGTGTGTGTGTATGGTGTTCCAGTGTATTCGTGTATGTGTGTTCCTGTGTATTTGTGTGGTGTGTGTGTATTTGTGTGTGTGTGCACATATATGTGTGTTCTGTACATATGTGTTACTGTGCATTCATGTGTGCGTGGGTGCATGTGGAAGTCAGAAGACAGCCTCCTCAGGATACTACCATCCCGTTTGTTGAGTCTGTGTTTCTCATTGTTCTGGGACTGGCCAACATGGATAATCTGGCTGTCCAGTGAGCCCCAGGAACCTGTCGGTGCGTGTGCCTCCAGTCCGGCACTGGGATTGCAAGCACATGCCACCACGCCCGGCTTTTCAAAACTGTGAGTTCTTGGGATCTGACTCAGGTCCCCATGGCTGCAAGGCAAACAATTAGCTGACTGAGGCATCTCCCCAGCCCCAGGTTCTTTTCTCAATGACATACTCTTAGATGACAGACTGCAAAGAAGAGAACAGGAATGCAATTAGCACTTAAATACAAGAGTTATAATAGTGTTGATTGATAATAATGATAGGTATTTATTTATTGACTGACTGACCAACCATGGTGCTAGGCATTGAATGGAGGGTCTTGCCCTGTCCCATACCCACTTTACCACACTTATCATCATAACTCTGAAGCAGACGTGATAGCCCCATTCTAGAGATCAGGGAACTGAGCCTCAGAAGGTTACATAATTTGCCACAGTCACACAACCAGTGACTGCCGGTCAGCACTCCCTAAACAAGAAAGCTGGGGTGATTAGCCGTGCCCTCTTTGGAAGCTGGGTTTGAAGGGTGCTACACTAGGCCATGTTTGCTAAGACGCTCCCTGGTAGGGCTGGACAGGTGGCTCAGTGGTTAAGAGCACTTATTGTTCTTGCAGAGGATCTGGGTTCAAGTCCCAGCACTCACATAGTGGCTCACAACCATCCATAACTCCTGTTCCAGGGGATCCAATGTTGTCTTCTGATCTCCTCAGGCACCAGAAATGCCCAGGGTACACAGACATACTTGTAAGCAAAATCTCATGCATATAAAATAAAATAAATAAAAATTTGAAAGTGTAAAGATGCTTCCTGGCCCTTACAGGGCTTTCAGAGAGGGGACATCAGGAGTCATCCAGCAACGGAAGCCATGTGTCTCTCTCTGGTGCTGAATGGAATCCTCTCAGCATGGTGCTCTCAGGCAGGGTCTCTTTTGAGCTTCTTGGTCTACACCATCAGCAACAGGTGTGTTCTCTTCAGCCATCCCGACACCATACTGCCCCTCCCCCCTCACTCATCACAATTCGCCAAGAGTATGGATTTGAGAACAATGGCCCCAGGAAGCACTTCCCACCAGACCTTCACTTTGGGTTGGGGAGGTGGCCCGGTGAGTAACTGAGTGCTGGTTATACCAACATGAGGACTTGAGTTCAGAGCCCAGAACTCACATAAAGCCAGGTGTGACATCACACATCTGTAATCCCGGAGTTCCTGGGGGAGGAAGAAACAGAAAAGTCCCTGGAAGCGCTCTGGCCAGCTAGCTAGACGGGCATGCACAGCAGTGTTGAAGCTTGTCTCCAACAAGGGCCAATTGTCCTCGACTTCTACACATATGCCCTGGCATGTGTGTGCATACACACATACACACATGTATCACACACACACCCCATACATACACACACATTCAAAGACTTAAAAACTAACAAAAACCCTCACCTTGATAAACTGTGTGCAGAAGCAGATGGTGAGAAAGCCTTGGCTGTCCCCAGAGAAAGGAGGTCTGAAGCTTCAGAGTCCATGTAGACCACCGACCCGATCCCTCAGCTGATGGAGCAGACAAACCTGGACCCACTCTGGACAGCCCACCTGCGGACAAGCACCCTGGACATCCCCACCCCAGATGACTGGACAGGATCCACCTGCAGAGTGGTCCCGGGCTGGGGGAGGTCTCCTACCTGATACGGTCTCCAGCCCCAGGTCTCCTGTCTTCTCTGTGGAGAGTTCCTGCAGGCACTGGGCCCGTTCCTCCTGCAGCACTCGGAGCACATCACACAATCGGGGCAGAGCTCCGGCCTGCGAGTGGAAAACCGAAGAGTGTCATCAGTGTCCGTCAGCTGTTGATGGACCCAGACTCCTCAAGCAAGAACAGGCAGGCAGACCAATGACGGTGAGGGTGGGAGCGTCGACTCCCGCGTTGGTCTCCAACATCAGCTCCAACACTGCAGAGGGGCTGACCTCCTTATCTCTAGGAAGACCTAACTCTCCACTGGCCTCCTCATAATCACTGCTCGGTAAAGAAGGGGACCTTTGCTACCTCTAGGACGGGGTCAAACTCATCTCTGTGGATACCAGCCCTCCACCTCATGGCCAGGAATGAGAGAGAACGAGGAAGAAGCGCATCTGGGGTCCTACTCCCCTCTTCAAAGGTACCCGGAGGCCTCCCCCTTGGTCCCCACTTAAAACTTCCACCATCTCCCAGCAGCGCCAAGCTTGGGTAACTCTTCAACACCTGGGAGTCAGGGAACATTCCAGAATCAATTTTTAGAAAAACAAAAATAAAAATTTAAGTGTAATGCTAGCAAACGTGCACAAACTTGTGTGATAAGAAATATATAAATGTTGATAGCTATGTATGGGGGTGTGCATGAGGGCAAGCGCCCCTAGGGGCCAAAAGAGGGCGCCAGACTCCTAGAGCTGGGGGTTCAGGCGGTTATGGAGCCAGGATTCTTGCTGAGAACCAAAATGGGCCGTATAGTTCTGCCTCTTAGCCCAGCTCTCCAGCTCTTAAACCAACACTGTTCTTGGGTTACTGGGATGTCCCAAACTTCCTATTAAGGAAGTTAAAGATTTAGATGTTTCAAATTCTCCCTAGAAGTATTTCTCACCCCCGGATTCCGTACGCTCCGTTCACATCACTTTTGGTGAAAGCAGCGCTCAGTGTTTATAATGACTTCTTTTGACAATGAGATATTGTTAGCTGTTGAAGTGAGTCCCACAAGAGGATTATGTGTCCTTGGGCATTTTTGTCCCATCCCCTCCCCCCAGGTCAATGATTTTTTGTTCCATTCGATTAGTTTCTGTGTACCTGTGCTGACTTCCCGTTTCCCCCTCCCCCTGTTTTTCTAGAATCCCTGCTGGTTGAATGATGGCCATCTGAGCCAACCCTCCAGCCTTTCATCCTTCTGAACTTTTCCCTTCCATTTCCTCTTGGCAATCATCCCATGAAAGAGTTCCTTGATAGTATCTGTGGAAGCTCTTTTGTCTGTTTTGTTCTCTTGTGAGAACACACATGCCAGGCTAGCCTTAAACTCCCTGTGTAGCCAAGGGTGACCTTGAACTTCTGATCTTCCTGTCTCCATTCCACTCTACCCCTATGCCCAGTGCTAACAGCCTCTGGGACTTGAACCCAGGGTTTTGTGCGTGCCAGGTAAGCATTACACCAACCGAGCCACATCTTTGGCCCACTTTTATTTTTTAATCTTACATATTTTAATTCAATTTTGCTATTGCCGGGGTATGTCCCATACTAATTTGCTTTTTAAAAAGATTTATTTTAACTTATATGTATGTACCTGCATGAAATTATGTGCACTATGTGCATGCAGCACCCTTAGAGGCCACAAGAGGGCCCTGATCCCCTGGAAATGGAGTTAACAGGCATTTTTAAGCCACCATGTGGGTGCTAGGAATTGAACCTGTGTCCTCTGCAAGAGCAGCAAACACTCTTAACCACTGAGCCATCTCTCCAGCTCCAGTGATTTCCTTTTTAAAGCATTGGTATGTGATATGTCATCTGTGTGTCTTTACACATCCAACAGTGTCTTTGTGGGTAATGTCACTTGGTTGAGGTTGGGCATGCTATCATTCACAAGCTCACATTTGCCTCTGGGCAGTCCTCTGATATCCACCATCTCTGTCTTTGGGATGTTTTCCTAAATCTTCTTGACCTGAGAGCCAAAAACTGCCCCCTGGGAGCAGTCCTGCAGCTCCTGCAGCTCTGTGTGTCTCCATCCCATTGATTAATCCAAAGGAGTCCAGTTCGGGGCAATCTCTATGCTCTTGGATTCCTGGTCCTGCAGTGGGGTGAAATGTCAGCCTACCCTGCTAACTAAGCAGATGGACTGGAAGCTATGGCAGCCAAAGTCTGTCCTTGAGAAAGCAATGGAAGAATGCAGCCCAGCTTGGAGGTGGGCAGGGGTAGTGAAGCAAACATCAATAGAAGGAAAGAAAGATGCTGAGTTCTATTAACTGTTGTGAGTTTAATTTTGAACTCTTAAACCTGAGTAGATAAAATATAAGATGAGCCGGGCGGTGGTGGCACACGCCTTTAATCCCAGCACTCGGGAGGCAGAGGCAGGTGGATCTCTGTGAGTTTGAGGCCAGCCTGGGCTACAGAG